GAGCAAACGGACATCAAATTAAAGAAATTAAGTTTACGATCACTTCTGTAACCTACAAAATTTGAAGAGCTCTCCATTCTCATATTGTGATAGATATTTCACCAGGAATAGATGACTCTCTGTTGTATATTTTTGGTGGTGGTGGTTATACCGTCAAGTCATGATTGTGGGTTGAACTCACTCACCTCCTACCTGTTTACAATGGAAATTAACGGGCAGAGCGTTTGGTCAACATCGATAGGTATTGCTCATTCTTCCCCATCTCCACTTTTAAATTACTCCGTTTCAGACCAGGGGCACGGATAGCCATGAAATGAGTAAATAAAAACGATTTCGATGGCAGGGTCTCGAGAAGACCGATATTACTATTTCATAGAACGATTTTTATATGTTAAAACGATATTTCAGTCTATTCGTCAGCGCTAAATGATCAGCTTCAACTGCTATAACGGCAGAGAAAGATAGATGAATGGTATACCTGTATTTAACCACAAAAGCCCTCCCTGATTTTGCAGAAAATAAAGAAATATAGTCATGGGCGTATTATATTGATGACAGCCAACACCGATGTAGCAAACACACGCACACACACGCACACACAAACAAAATAACATTGACCACAATGGTTTGGTAGAGAAAAATACAAATAATTTGATCTGTATTTGAATATAATCGTTCATAAATGAAATCAAAGTTATTCAACGGAAGAGTGTTAACGAGCCGAACACACATGTAAATACGGGCAAAATTCGTAAGGAATATGACTAGACGACAATTCCAAAGTTAATGCTAAAAAAAAATTATGATTTAAATGTTTGGCTTAACGATTGGTATCAAAATTGTCCTTGATTTATTGTTATCTCAAAAGGATGCTAATATTCCACCACCGAAACCACCGAAAGAAATACATAATTTCACTCCACAAACGTCATTTCCAATCCCGCAAACGGTTCGTGAATTTACAGTAATAGGTTTCGTTATTTCCATGAGCGTTTTATTCGATGTTGAAACACGTACTTGTTATGCTCATTATCACTCACTAAGTGTCATAAAACCATACCGGAGCTTCTCAGCTCCGATTTATTCGCTTTCCGAACATAAGGGCTTAATTTGAGAAAAGTGGCAATTTTTGGATGACTACGTAAACGTTGAGAATGTTTGAACAGGATATGAGTATTCTTGTCGTGTCTTTTCGGTCCAAGGTCTCATCTTCAAGCTGCAGATACCGCCCCCATCCCCATCCCCATCCACCCAGCGCTAAGTTGCAGGAGATAAAGGTCCATTTAGAGATGCTTAAGATTTTTATATTACTTCTGTACTACTGGGAAAAAAGTGCATTGATAGATCTTGATAAGTTTGAGAGACACGTGTATGAGAGGGAGGGAGAGAGAGAGAGAGAGAGAGAGAGAGAGAAGGGAGAAAGAAAATAAGAGAGTGTGGGCGAGGGTGAGTGTGTAAGGCAGCGCAAGCGCAACACAGCTGAATTCCTGATGAAATTTGTTTTAAAGGAATTTTTAATGTAGTTTTCCTGCAATAAGCCTTTTATTTGAGAGGAGAAAATATTAATCCTAAGGATAATTATAATATATATTTCCATGTGAGAAATCGAAGTGCAATATTTAAAAAATGATAACGATTTAAGCTTTAATCGAATACATGATTAAGGATTCTATCTATTTATTGTTACCACCATTTCGTGCATACCATATTGATGGAACACTCAAAATATATTGTATCTATTTATTTCACATATTTCGGAAAAAAAGTAGCAATAATCAACATGTCCTGGTTTTCATCGAGGTCCTATATAAAAAGGGCAACACATCACATATATCTTGTATATTTATAAATAAAGATATGCCTTAATGTGAACGTGAAGCAATGCAAATGATAAGACCTAAAAGGTGAAATGAATGAAAAGGTGCTCTTGTACCGTCCTACGGTGTCTTCTGTTTGCACGCTACATACCATGGTGGCTTCCTCCCACAATTTAGTCATAATTATGATATACGTATATATATTTAGATTCGCAACATATATCATTCATTGCAATGCAAACTATTATAGGTTTATTGCAAATGCTGCATCAGGTTTTGGTGAAACGTATGCACCCGAAACTTTTCCCGCTAAATGGCGCCTCGGGACGCATATGCATTCTAGAACCAGACCGGAGTTTCCGGTCACTTTGTATACTGGACAGCGCCATCACATCACGAACGGCGACAGACGCTGTAAACTGTATACATCTCCACTTTCTATTTTTTGCCGGCCAAAACATATATATATATGCAATACAATTTTGAAAACACACAGCAGATCTTAGAAGAGGGAAATGAAACAATAATTATGCAATGAAGATTTTTCGACAAAAAGTATCTGACTTTACATTATGTAGATCCCTATATTTTCCTCCTTTCTTTATTTAAGGCGATACTGCTTTCAAGAAGAGTAAAAACAGAGGTAAACACTTAGATTTACTAAAACGTTTTATTTTGTGCAATCTTTACATTTTAGTATGTCTTCATACACCTTTCTCTCATTTTAGATTCATGTCATTCTTTCCTCTTTTACCATTATCTTATTTTCTTCTTTTTGCTTACTTCGTTTTGTATTTTTAGATTTAATCGTTGAACTGCCTATTCTAATCTGTTTCTAGTATGATATACCAATGAAAGTTCTATTTTGCTTTTTCTTTCAAATATGATAGAGCCAGATTATATATTTGCCCCTAATATAACGATTAGACTCCAACCTCTCTTTCACTACGATACAGCATTTTGCTTTTCCAATTTGATATGATTGAATTATATTTTATAAGTATAAGTACAGTTGAGTTCTGTTCTCTTTTCCATGATAAAGCTTGATTCCAATGATCGTCTTTTCCTAATATAACACATGGAGTTTAATCTATTTTTCTACAAAATGAAAACTCGAAATTTAAGTGGCAAATATGTTAATGTCCCTATAAGAGTTATTAAATTTTCATTTCCAGTACAATGAAATAGTCAGAAGAAGCGATAACTACATAACTCTAACTTCGTCTGATTGATAAGTTACTTTATTATGTTCATAATCACCATTTTAGAGTGATGCCTAATGCGGAATTATAAAAAGAAAATCTTTAAAAAAAAGTTATTACAGAGTATCCATAATTACATTTTCACAGGAATACATATACACATAAAAAACTACAAAAACAAGGTATATACCAAAGAAAAAATGTATCTATAATCGCCTTTTTGGGAGCAAACCTGACCTCTTAAGAAAAGTAGAATAACTAATTGGAAACAACAAGAGTGTGTATTTTTTTAATAAGAGACTTAAATGGAATACGGGTGATAATATTGAATTTAAACACAATGAATACCATCGATTTAAAAATGAACGGCTAAGTTGAAGATGCAAATACATGTTCCTCTTAATAATAATACAAATCAACAGCTAAAACACGGGTAAGTAAATTTCTTTGTCAAGTTGAAAACAGTCATCTTGCCCAAGGTAAAGTATATTTCCTCCCGAAACCAAAGAATTTCAAATCGAATTAGTAATCTAGGTGTGGTATTTTCTCCAAAATTAATCCTTTTTGTTATGTCACGTAATATTCACTGGAGCTGAAACGAGGAAATAAAAACCTCTGTTTTTTTTCTTTCTCTCTCCTATTTTTTTTCCAGCCGCAATAGTTTCGCAGCCTCCGTTGAATTATTCTGCTTTTTGTCCTCAAATAAATTGCTATGGGAATTTAGAAAAATACTGTTAATTGTGAAATAATTTCACGCCATGTGAGTTTCGGAAAAATAGCAGAAAGGACTACTATTTTTGTGAGCGCTCGCACTATTGCCGAGGCTAGTGCGAGGCCGTATACATTACACGGAGAACTACGCACAGAACCCCGCAGACACCCTAAACGCGTAGAGGAACAAAAGACCGGCAATAGGGCGTTAACGAATTTTTGGTAATTGGGGTAAAAAGAAATCGACATAGGTGAGAGACGCGGAGAGTGCAGTGTTTGATCTAAGGCATAAACGAATTTTTGATGGATTAGATGAAATCGGAGAAGTCCGCTCGAAGGTCAGGCTCAATTTGAACGGTTTAATCATCTGACCACTTTCCCGATTTTTTAATGGTGAACTTGAATACATAAAAATCAGATATTCCTATTTGTTAATGGCTGAGTGACTATGCAAAAAGTGCGCCAGATGTGTTAAAATTCATTTGATGGGAACGATGGGGTTCCAAACCTGATATGAAAAATGCACCCTCTTTTGTGTAGTTTTCTGTGTTTTACCTGATATCAATATAAATTTAGAGACCCTTTTAATGAGTTTTAGATTATCATAAAATGATTCATGAAATCTGTTGTCATCAATTATGAAAGTTAGATTGATTGTATAATGATATATTTGAATGGCTTGGAATTTCAATCACTAAATTTTAAACGCGTTCTGAATTTTGATTAAATGCTTACTCCAATCATCAAATACTTACTTCAATCATATACGGTTTAAAAGTATAAGATCACAAATTCAAATACCACATTTCGTATAGAGTCAGTGATTTTTAGCTTTGAAAAAGGGCTTTTTAAAAAATGCGTTTTTTAAAATAGTCGTGAATTTAAAACATTCTATTTCTACTCTATAATCCATTCCATAAAGGTTTCACACTTCCAAGAAAAGATCCGCTCACCCCAATAGCATAAAACTACTTTTATTTAGGACTATACTAAAACATTTCAAACACTCGTTGAGGACCACAATAAAAAGATGTCGGAAATTAATAATCATATATTTATCAAATCAGTACTGTCTGTCTATTTTTTTTTATTCTGAACGAACAATATTCAATTTTAAACTTTGAAATGAGCTAAATAAGATATTTGAAATTACAATTTTAAATTTTTTATTTAAGCATAAGGGTGATTATATGAATTATCTGACTTTTTACAAATATTTTGATTTTATCCATTCTTTATTCATATTTTCATCCTTTCATTTCCCCCACAGATCATCCCTGATACAATACATGAGGCGTGGCGACCATTCCCGCTAGCAGGGAGCTCGAAGCGAACAGCGACCATCGACCCAGCGGGTAGCTTCTGGCACAGAAGTCACAGAATTGATCGATGGGGTGGTCAGCGGCTTGAACGCTATTCATAATCGCTCTTCTTCGAACAAGTACCAATCGTAAATTCCATCGAGTGATTTCCAAATGAAATAGATTTATTGGTCAGTATTACCACAAGATGTTCATGCATTCAGTAGTACCTTAACTAAATATTGAATTTTCAAAAGTTTTCGAAATGAGATAATTGAAATGAAATCGGAGGTCGTGAAGAAGACTTACAAGGAGACATACGAAGAATCAGACGTATTAAAATGAAGACGATGCAGAAGAAGAAGGAAAAAAAGAGGAAGAAGAGAAAAAAGAAGATAAAGAAAGGGAAGAAGGAGAATACAAAAATTGTAAAGAGAATAAAAAGGAAAGGAGAAATGAACGAGAGAGCCGGGATATGACTTTCAAACCAAAAAAGAAGAGAGGGAAATGCGAAGAAAAAAAGAAAGAAAATAAGCGGTTTTACAAAGGTAAGTTAAGAATTTTTATTATCAAGAATCCGTTAGATGAATGTGGATGTATCAATGAACGATGAAAGAATTGGTAAATATAAGTATATTGCCATACGTTTTAAAATGTGACTATTAAAAGCATAGTAACTTCTAAAATAAAACGAACTTTTCTATGTTAGAGATTATTGTGAAATGGATCCAGCATTTGTTTGCAAAATAGCACCAAATGCCCTATTTTTTCGTTAAAAATGACACTAAAAAGGGAATTTCAATGCAAGAAATAAAGAATGAAATGTCTCATAATTTTCATTATACACGCGTACCAATTTATCTCAAAACTTTTACAATTGCATAGCTTCACTCAATTTAAGATTACTTAAAATATAAACGTTTAAATGATTTTTATTAGTATTAATATAATTGATGATAATGTAATTTCATCATACATTATTCATATTTATTTTTGATTTTGAAGATTAGTTCAAATATAAACATTCATATGATTTTTATTAGTAATAATAAGATTACTTAAAATATAAACGTTTAAATTATTTTTTATTAGTATTAATATAATTGATGATAATGTAATTTCATCATACATTATTCATATTTATTTTTGATTTTGAAGATTAGTTCAAATATAAACGTTCATATGATGTAATCTCATCATATATTATTTATATTTATTTTTGATTTTGCGAACTAATAAATTATTGATACGAAAAATAAGAATTTCTGCTCGCTTGTTATTTATATTTCATTAAACAGTTATGTGTCAATTTAAATCAAACCTCATAAGCACCACACCAATATCATAAATATATTGATACACTAAAACATCAATAACAAATGTTTGCAGTACTTCCGATAATAAAAAATAAGTGATTTTTTCAAAGAAAGTATTCCAGATATCACAAAATCAGGGTATGAATAATCAAACTATAATGACACTGGTGGTAAAACCATAATATAGGCGATCGTATTTATTTCGTAAAAAGACTCTAATAAGGACCATCCAAAGTAAGTGGGATTGCCAATTCCGTCAAAAATTAAAAAAATAACGACATTTCTTGCTGTATAGATGAGGTCAATAATCAAAGGTGTTTTAGTATGTAAGTTGTTGTTTGATGTTGACGTTTTGCGAGAAGGATTTCTGTGGATAAATTCGTTAATGATTTAAAACTATTAGCAGTATTCGTAATAACAATTATATCAGATAACTATAGCTCCAGAAAATTACTCTTTCTCACAGCGCTTTATGTAAAAGACAGACCTGTTCATGACATTATTAATTAACATAAAATATGCGACAAATTCTAGGTTTAGTGTTTACTAACTCAACATGCTCCTCTCACCGAATGTATAAATTTACCCAGTCCACTAGGCAAACTTGGGCACACAGTCAGACGACAGCCTACTATTTTCTTTAGGCTTTCCATCCGCGCGAAATATATATATGTTTTTGGCGCTCAGGTATATATATATATATATATAAAAAAGGAGGAAGGCAATTGTCGTGTATGTCAACGAAGCTGAGATACAGAAAAGAGAGAGAGAGAGAGATAGAGAGAGAGAGAGAGAGAGAGAGGGAGAGAGATATGGAGAGAGTAGAGTGTATGTATTTGCATCAGTAGCAGATAAGATGGAGAGAGAGAGAAGTGGAGTAAGAGAGAGCTAGTAAATGCTAACGTTGGTGTATGCTGTATATACTTGTCTATAGATCTACAGGTCTGGGACTACTCTTAAAGTATATATGCTTTTCTCATTCGTCAGCAGCAACAAGAAATTTAGAATAATAGTAAAAGGACAAGGTCAAGCCGTATGATGTACCATTTTAAGGGGTAAGGCATGATAATTATTAAAACAATTTATGGTCTGATGGCTGTCTTGTTTTACGGTTAGAAAAAACAAAAAAGTAACAAATCAATTATTGCACGTATAATATTTATTTCAAAAAATTGGAATGAAAACATAAAAATCTGCTTCTCTTTAAGTATTGATATTTTGCGATTTGCAAATAGCATTGATCATTAACATCAGCAATACCACAAATAATTATATTGGCAACAATATCGCAAATAACTATATTGACAAAATAATACACATACAGAGCGAGAGAGAGAGAGAGAGAGAGAGAGAGAGGTGGATTTTGAGAAACTGCGATTAGGAAAGAGAAAGAGAGAGAGAGAGAGAGAGAGAGAGAGAGAAATAATCGAGAGAAGAAACGGGAATGGGTGAGAGAAGCGCGTGGAAAAATAAAAATAAAAGGAAAAACATAAAAATCACGCACGTGTAACCGAAGACAAAAAGATGAGTGAACGTTCACGTTCATATAAAACAATGATATGATATTGAATCCATTAAAAATTTCTCTCTTCACGATGCAGGACAAGGTCTGAAAAAAGGGGGAAAAGGCAAGTATTCAACCGAGATTTCCAAACGGTAATCAAGACCCGTATTCATCCCGGGGTGCATCTAATGGACATCCAAGTCTTAATGAAATTACGGATGCATTTAGCTATGCCTGATTAGACGTCTGATGGCTTTGAATCCTCTATTGCCGGTGAGATAATGGACGGAGAAGTCAATAATAGAATTATTCGAGCTTCACTTTACGAAAGCTATGGTTTTTGTTTCGGACTGATATTTTCTTTTCCTTTTTTCCCTTTTCGAGAGGAGGCTCGCTTAATGATGATTCCATTGATTTTAGTCGGATTTTCCGATTTTGGGGGTGTAATATAGAGTAAGTATGGAAGCAGAAGAAAATTAGAAATGACATCAACTGTTGCACTGTTAGTCTGTCCTTCAACAAGTAAGGCCTTATATATACAAATGAAATATATATAAAAAAGATAAATATACTAACACGATTATAGAACAGTGTTAAAACATTATTATTTAGAACAAAAAGATAATGTACACCCAAGATAAATAAAATAATGATGCAATTTTCGTTTCTCCACTATCGGATTATAGTCGACTTCTAGTACCAGGAATGTTCAGTAAAAATAAACTTGGTTAAAGGTTATCATAAATAAGAATCTGGCCTTTGTAAACAGTTAAATTTACATTTTATAATCAATATCAATTCCCCATAAATCGTTATTATATATAAATGTATATATATAAATGTTCATAATAATAAACAATTATTATTGCTTGGAAGAACACGGCGAAAGAAATAAATACAATTTATTTTATGAAGGGCAATCTAACCTTTGCAAGAAGTTGAATTGGTGAAACATAAAAAGCAAGAGAAACAGGTTAATGAAAGTTTGAAAAGAATTCGTTAATAATGTGTATCAAAATTTCTCACATAATTTTGAATATTTATTTACAACTCTCTTCATCTTTATTTGGCTCAATGAAAAATCAATTTTTAGATTTGTCTACATTCCTTCAAAGCGAATTAAAATGAAGCTTGGCTTGCCCTTTAATAGATATATCTGGTGTACAAATTTTTTTTAAAGTTCCCGTTTGAGAAGAAAAAATTTCTTCCCACGTCCCGATGTCGTCTAGGTGAAAACAAACACTCTTGAAAAGTTAAGAAGAAAAGGAGATAACTCAATAAGGCTTGGTCCCTCAACGCCGCTCTCGAGTGGCATTGTTTTGCATTCTCCATTTCTTTCATTGTCTCTCTGTTTAAGGCTGGTACCACAGGGTAGTTTCTAAAGAATGCTGAAGAGTGTTTGACTTTTCTTTGGGTTGGGGTCATTAATACCTCGGCATAAGATGTGGTTGGAGACTCGGTGAGAGATGAAGGTGGAAAATGTAGAGATATAGAGACGGAGGGAGAGAGAGAGAGAGAGAGAGAAAGAGTGTGTGTGTGTGTTTATATGTGTGTATGTGTGTGTGTGTGTGAGAGAGAGAGAGAGAGAGAGAGAGAGAGGGGGGGGGGAGAGAACGAGAAAGAGTTAGAGAAATAAGTAATTAGGTTAGGTTAGAAGGAGGTATAGACTCGTATAGGAATTTTGATGAAGGCATTTAGATCTAAGTAAGACAACCAGATTACTAAAATCATGGAGTTACTAGCCTATGAAAGAAAAAGAGAAATGAACAAAAAGCAAACAGAGAAAGGAAAATATGCAGAAAAAAAGGGGATGGAAAAAAGGAGCGAAGAGGGACAGAATGTCAGCAAGAGAGAAATAAATAAAAGAGGTATTTTAAGAAATGTTTTTAAGTTAACGGTCGGTGATAAATGGGAGGTAGATATTAAAAAATCATTATGAAAAAAAGCAAAGTTAATGGTGATAAATGGGAGATAGATATTAAAAAATCCTTATAAAAAATATAGACAAAACAGTATAAAAGAAAGGGGAGAGATAGAGAAAGAAAGAAAGAGAAGGGAGAGAGAGAGAGAGAGAGAGAGAGAGAGTGAGAGAGAGAAAGAGAAAGAGAGAAAGAGAGGGAGTGAAAGAAAAAAGTGGATTGATGAGGAACAATACCTTCGTGGGTGGAGTGACAACTTGAGTTTGCTCTTGGGATTCTCCAACCGAAAATCGTTTGTCTTCTTTTCTCTGATGATGAAGCGGGAGAGGAAAGTTTGGTTGACATTCTTTTGTGTGGATATATTCACGAAGTAAACAAGGCATTATCTCCTTGAATGGGAACGATTTAGAGCCTGGTACGTACGTCGGCCAAAATATATAAGAAACATTAAAAAAATACAGAGAGATAGTGAGAAAGAAAGCGTAAGAGTAATAGAGAGAGAGAGAGAGAGAGAGAGAGAGAGAGAGAGAGAGAGAGAGGGGGAGGGTTTCTTAAGGAAATACAGGAAATCAGAAACGGAAAAACCCGATAAAGAGGGAAAGAGACGCATGCAACATAAATAGAGAAGGGAGAGAGAGAGAAAGAGAGAGAGAAAGAAAGAGAGAGAGGGAAGGGGATGGAGAGGAGACATGGAGAACGAGAAAAGAGGGGATAAGTATATCGTCATAAGAGTACTTATTGTTTTTATTTTAAAAAAAATAGAACAAATAAGAAGAACAAAGATACAAAGAGAAATAATCCAGATTATTGGAACGAGAATGCAAAAGTTCATAGGCCCAGATTTATAAATACAGTAGTTTACCGCCACTTGAAAAGGCGTTAAAACTCGCTGTGCACCCATCATCGATAGTGTGTGGTATCTTTTATGAGACACAGCGGGAGAGAGATGACTTCACTTCAAAATCTGACATTAAAACCCTAAAAAGTTAATGGTTTCAAAAAAGGTTAGACGTAAACATCAATTTACCCT